TCCGCAGATGAAGCGAAATTAGCTTTAGATGCTGTAGGAGATTCGAAAACTGTTAAAAAACTAGGGCAAACTCGGACAGTAGAAAAACGGCTGCAAAATTTATGTATACAAATACAAGCGGGCAATATCGGTGTTTTAGATTTTTTAACAGCCGTAACTCGTAAGTCATAATATAAGAAAGAGGTGTACCTAATTATAATATTACATTTTTATAGCATTATTATTATAATTATATTGGTACTTTAATTGTATTATTATTATTTACTTTTATTTGACTTACTTATTATTGACTATTTATTATTGTAATAAATTGTAAGTAATTAACATCTTTTATGATATTATATGACTATATGTATTTATATATTCATCGGGACTTTTTTTTCCTAGTGTGGGACTTTTTTTACCGGGACTTTTTTTTCCGCGATTCAAATGAGACATGACTACTTGTTGCACATTTAAAATTTGTACATTTATTTCTTGATTATTTTTTTTAGCAACGTGATACTAAGGATCTTAATTTACGATAATGGAATAGATTTATCTATTGGAGAGGAGGATAATACAATCAGGAATATTATGTCTGAGACTCAAACAACAATTGTTGTATTTAGGTAAGTAGAAGTGCAAACAGGATAATGTTAATACAATGTTAGATAGTAAATAATTCTTAAAAATAAATAATTTAAAAACAATTCAGCAATGTCGACATAACAGTTGACAACATCAACTACAACATTATATATACAGTTGAAGGCTTGATTGAAAATGTATCTAAAGCAGAGTCTCAAATTAATGCAATGCTTAGACAAAGTTTTGAACAAATTCTACGGCCCATAGCAGTAAGTTTTTACACCACAATTAATATTGAACCTCGCATTGAACTTTTATAATATGTTATTGAAATTATTATTGTTAATTTATATGTATCTTATCTTAAGGGTCGTCAAATAAATATTGAACCTGTCACAGAAACGAGAAATTTTTGTGAAATGGGACTCCCACATTTTCCTTATATTGATGCTAATGCCACTCCTGTTATTAGAAACAGACAAACAGGTTCCATGTTAAGTATACTTGTGCCCAGTGATATAGTTGGTGTAATTATTGGTCGAGGTGGTTCTACAATTCAGGGAATTATGGAACAGACAAGTGCTAGGTAAAATTTAATTTAGTGTTATTAAATTTATTTTAAAAGAAAATGTTGATCAGGTTTAACTGCTTATTATATTATGTAAATTAAATAAAAATATTTAATGATGTTCTAGGATCAATGTTAATAAAAACGACATCACTGGATACTCGGAAAAAGCTATTACAATCTTTGGTACTCCAGAAAATTGCACTAATGCATGTCGAAAGATTTTGGAAGTCTTGCTACAAAAAGCAAGTGACACTAGTCAAAGGTAAATGAGACATGACTACTTGTTGCACATTTAAAATTTGTATATTTATTTCTTGATTACTTTTTTTAGCAACGTGATACTAAGTATATTAATTCCTGATAATCTAATAGGTTTAATAATTGGAGAGGAGGGAAATGCAATCAGGAATATTGTGTCTGAGACTGACACAAAAATTAATGTACTCGGGTAAGTAAAGCTACAAACATGATAGTGTTGATTAAATATAATATAGTAAATAATTCTGTTAAATCAATAATTTAAAAATAAATCAGAATTATTGACATTACAATTGACAACATTAACTACAAAAGAGTATGTAAAGTTGAGGGCTTAATTGAAAATGTATCTAAAGCAGAGTCTCAAATTAGTGTAAAGCTCAGACAAAGTTTTGAAAAATATTTACATCAAGTGGCTGTAAGTATTAACATTGAACTGTTATATTATGTTATTGAAATTATTAGTCTTAAGTTATATGTATCTCATCTCGAGGGTTGTCAGATAAATGTTGAACCTGTCATGGAAATGAGGAATTTCAATGAAATGAGACTTCCACATTTTTCGTATGGAGGCTCTGGTGCTACTCCTGATATTAGGGACAAACAAACAGAGTCCTTGTTATGTATATTAGTGCACAGCAATATGGTTCATGCAATTATTGGCAACCATGGTTCTACAATCAAGGAAATTACACAACAGACAAATGCCTGGTAATGTGTTATTAATAAGAAAAAAGATTGATTTAAGTTTACCTGCTATTGTTTTAAATTAAAAGTAATTTTAAATTATATTCTAGGGTCCACGTTCAACCTAAATACAACTCTGGCTCTATGGAACAAGTTGTAATAGTTAAAGGTAATCCAGAAAATTGCACTAATGCATGCCTCAATATTCTGGAAGCCTTGCAACAGAAGGCGACCAATTCTCGCAGTAGGTAATATAGTTATAACTTATGACCAACTAATTAGTTGTAACACACAAATTTGAATTGAAATTTCTTAATATTATGTTCAAGTTCAAGCAATGTGGTACTAAAGATCTTAATCCCTGATACCATTATTGGTATAATTATTGAAGAGGAGGGTAATATGGTTAGAAAAATTATGTCTGACACTGAAACAAAAATTAATGTATCTAGGTAAGTGATAAGCATGAACATAAAATATTAAAATATGGTTATATTTGTCAAATATCAAATAGTAATTAATTATCAATAATAATTAATAATTTTAGCATTACTGGCATCACAATTGACAGTGTCAACTATAAAACAATATGTACGATTGAAGGCTCAGTAGAAAATACGTGTAAAGCAGAAAGTCAAATTAGTGCTAAGCTCAGGCAAAGTATTGAACATTTTCTACAATCTGTGGATGTAAGTATAAACACTGCAATGACCACTGAAAAATGTTTTATCTTAATGGTTGCTTTTATATATAGCATTATATGCTTTTATTTCTATTGAAACTATTAGTCTTAAATTAAAATTATCTTATCCTGAGGGTTTCCAGATAAAAGTTGAACCAGCCTTGGAAATGAGGAATTTATGTGAAATTGGACATACACATGTTTCGCATGTTGGTCAAAAGGAGTTTACGTTACGTATACTTGTGCCGAGCGATATGATTCCTATAATTATTGGTAAACATGGTTCTACAATCAAAGAAATTACACAACAGACGAGTGCTAAGTAAAATGTGTTATTAATTTATTTAAAAAAATTAGTTTTAGGGATCCTGAGTCAGTCCGTTTTTTAGTATAAAAACATACCTTACAGGAAAAACTCATGCTTTGTAAAATAGTCAAATTTTTTTAACTTATAAGGAAAAGAACATTTTGTAGGTCGGATCTAAGCACAATTTCAAAATTATAACTATAGAAGCTAAAATATGCATTTGAATAATGCACATAATTAATTGTTCTTTTTCAAATGTATTTTTCTAGCACTATTTAAAGTAAAATGAAAATTTGGGCCTTTAAATAAAACAAAAAATTATGAATTTGACTATTCTACAGGGCGTAAGAGTTTTTCCTGTGAAGTCATTTTGTTGATAAAGTACACCGTATCAACCCCTCCCCCCTCTAAAAAGGTATCGAGTAGTGGATTAGTGGAAAATTATTTAAATTGAGGTGGTAACTAAAATATAAAATATAATTTACAAATCTTATAGTTTTGCAGAAAATTAGGAAAACCAGCACCAACACCCTTAAGCTTATCTGCTTATTGTTTGGAATAAATTAATGAAAATGTTAAATCATGTTTTAGGGTTCATGTTGATCAAAAATACAGTGTTGTCTCTACAGAGAAAGCTATAACAATCAAAGGTATTCCAGAAAATTGCACTGATGCATGCCGCAAAATTTTGGATGTCATGGGAAGAAAAAGGTTTTAACTTGACTTATGGGTTATGGCTAACTAATTAGTTATACAAATCTAAGAATGAATGTTACATATTTGGAAAATTTTGATTTTTTAATAATATGTTTTAGTTATGACGTGGTACTGAAGATTTTAGTTCATAATAATCAAATTGGTGTAATAATTGGAAAGGAGGGCAATATCATCAAAAAAATTATGTCAGAGACTGATACAAACATTACTGTACCTAGGTAAATAAAAACACAAACAGTTTTATTTGTAATATATTGGATCATAATCAATAATAATTAATAATTATAGCATAACTGACATCACAATCGACAGCTTTAATGATGAAAGAATATTTACTGTCCAAGGTTGTGTAGATAATATTTCTAAAGCAGAGGCTCGAATTAGCTCAAAGCTCAGGCAGTGTCTTAAAAACATATCTGTAAGTATAAACAATACATTTATCATTAAAAAAGCATACTTTTATTAAATACTATTGAGTAGTATAATATAAGTCCATATCAATAGTAATTTATCATCATTGTTGTAAAGTGTTGTATCTTTTAAAATATTTTATGATTATGTGTATAAATAGTATATTGATTTTATCTGTTATTGGCCATTTATTTTATGTGGATAGAATTAATAATTATTACTTAAAATTCTCTTAACTTGATAGTTCAACTTAACTAAGTTAAAATATTCTTGGCAACTTTTAATTAAGGTTAGATTACTTAAAAAATGTAATATAAAAGTAGATTTATTTAAAAATAAAAGATTTAATGTTGGAAATTAATTTATGTTTATAAATTCAGTATAAGCCTGTAACCTAAGTCCATACTTGGAGTATAATAAATCTAAAAGCGTTCCAACGTTCTGACATAGATTATGTAAAACGTAACGCTTACCCTGCTTACCTTGTCGAAAAGTTCAAAATATACCTCATAGTAAATTTAAATATATTTTAAAAATAATTATCGGAGTCAAATTCAAGTCAGTATATTTGAACTCGTACAGGTATATTTTGCTCCAATAATCTGTAGTGTGGAATCCCCTCAAGTAACTATAGTAAACTTAGTTTATAGGCCTATTCAATATTTAATTGCTTGTAATGAGAAAAATATGTCTGTACAGCTCAACATTTACCCAACACATACAAACATTGAAAATTGTCTAAATTTATACCTTAAAAATAGGCAAAGTCAAATTATTTAAATGCTGGTTCACTGATATTTAATGTATTCATTAGAAAGTAAAATAAAATATATTTTTTTATGTTATTATTGAAAGCACTACAAACTAACCAGATTAGTAGAACCTGAAATGGCAGATAAGAAGTATAAATTGATCATAGTGGGCCACTCAAATGTTGGGAAAAGTTCCATAGTCAAACGATACTGTAAAGATATTTATCAATTTACTAAACCCACTATAGGTACAAGTATAGTATTAAAACCAAAACAAATAATAGAACAATTGTATGATAATTGATAACACATAATCAAAATATTTCTTAGGTGTGGACATTCAACAAATATTTGTCAGATTTAATAATGAAACCATCCACTTGGAAATTTGGTAAATATTATTTATATTATATAGGTATATCTTATAATGTTATAATCAAAAGCCTTATACTAATGCAGAATTGAATTAAAATGTATTTAATTATTCTTAATCTTAAAAACAAAATACTCCAGTTTTAATTTTTAGTATCTAATATTTAGTTACTCAGTTCTTCAGTACTATCATGTTTATAATTATTTTAGGGACACAGCTGGGACAGAAGATTATCAGTGTTTAGCAAGTTCCTATAAAGGAGCCCATGGTGTATTTGTTGTCTATGATATTACAGATTCCTCATGTAAACTAGAAGGACGGATCGAAGATATTAAAACTGTCAGTATTATATAATAATCAAGTTAAATTTATAGTTAAATATATTTGACAAAGGATTAATTTTTTAGCAATTTTTATTATAAAATCTGTTGACAATACATTTAAAATTTTAATTTTAATGTAATATTTTACATTTTTTAATTTAAATTTTACAATTTACATAAGTAAATAAATAATATTTTTTTTTTTTTTCAGTTATCTGATCCAAATTCAGTGATAATTTTGATCGGTAGTAAATGCGATGATAGGACAAACAGAAAGATATCTATCAAAGAAGCACACAGAGTAATTATGTTATTATAATCAATATGACTTGAGAAATATTTCCTCCACTATTTTAATTTTTGTCAATGGTCTTAAATATTTTTTGAATTTCATCTTTCAATTTGATTTAAAAAATATTTCTTCAATTTCTCTAACGATTGTTAATGACCATACCTAAATGTTTTTATTCATTAGATAGCAGAAATGTATAGAATTCCGTTTCTTGAAGTGTCTTCCAAAACCAATGTAAACATAGACTGTTTATTCTATACAATGATTTCAAAAATATATGACCTCCAGAATCAGCTTACAGACATTAACAAAGAGGTAAATTGTTAAAGTAATACCTTATAGCTATGTTACAATAACATGCTTAGCACTGCTGATTAAGCATTTTAAAATACAAATTTAATTCAAATTACTGAAAGAATTTTGATTTTATGAGGCATAAGCTGGTATAAATATTAAATGTATTGATATTTAATAACAAGCTAAGCCATTGGCTATCAGGCATTAGTATATTTACCGTTGAATACATTTATCTAGTTAGTGCATATAAATGACAAAATGAAATCAAAGTTAAATTCTGATGTAAAACCAAATACAATACCAGTGCGGTGTCAAATAATGGATAAGGAATTACCCGATACCCCAAACATACTATCAGAATACAATGACAAAGAGGTACTAGTAATTTTATATTACCACATAATATAATTGTTATAAATTTAGGTTAAACTTGTATGACTATTAAATATATTAATTACAAGCTAAACTTGTCCTAAAGTTAATAAATGTTTACCTTCAAATAAAATGAAATACAATGTTTATGTTTTATTAAAGCACTACAAATTGATAAGAGTGCAACCTGATCAAAATACAATATTTAAGAAATATAAACTGATAATTGTTGGTCACTCAAATGTTGGAAAAAGTAGTATAATTCATCGTCTCGTCAAAGATGTTTATGAAGATACTTTAAAAACCACTATAGGTATGAGTATAGTATTAAAATTAAAAGAATATGTCTGATAATAAATATTTGTTAGATATTTAACCAATAAGTAATAATATTACACTTATACACTCTAGGTATCAACTTCCATGAAATATTTGTTAGATTTGAGAACGAAACCATCCAATTAAATATTTGGTATGTATTATTAATTTAGAATTCATATTCTATAACTGGGTACCTAGATTATCTATGATTATTTGTATAAATTATACTGCTAGCTTAGAACTTGAAATTTTAGTGTCAAAAATGCTCTTTCATGAAGTTATTTTAGTTAAAAAATGAATCAGTACTATTGTGTTTCTCATTGTTTTAGGGACACTGCCGGGACAGAAACATATCGCTCTTTAGCTCAATCATACTATAGAGGAGCCCATGGTATATTTATTGTGTATGATATTACAAATGCAAAATATTTAGTTGAACTAAACAATTGGAAAAAGGATGTTGAAGATGTAAGGAATTGTATAGTAATTAACTTAATTGATTGAGTTAATTTGGTTATTAATTTTTGTCATTTTTTATTAATTGAGGAGATAATACAAATGTTAGATTACCTAGTTCTTGAAATAAATAAAAAAAACTACTTTTTTTCAGTTTTCTGATTTAAATGCTGTGAAAATTTTGATTGGTAGTAAATGTGATGATACGTCAAATAGAAAAGTCTCAATCAAAGAAGGACAGGAAGTAATTTAATCAAATATAACTCACGTATCTATCCTATAAATAACTAACTGTTTTCAAAAATTGTATTCACATGTTACAAAAGAGTATTTCATCCTCTAATTTGACTTTAAACAAATATTTCCTCTACTCTTATTATTGTTGATGGTAATACAATTTTATTACTTTTTAGTTGGCAAAAGAGTATGGAATTTCATTCTTTGAAGTGTCTTCCAAAACCAATATAAATATAGACAAATTGTTGTATACAATGATTTCAAGAATACATGATAAACAAAAAGAGGTAAATTTAAAAAGTTTTTGTTATGTTTCATTAATGTTCTCAGTACTCAGTAGTATAATATTATGCCTTGCCTCATGAACAGTTACTAAACATTTAACAAATCAATAGTGAGCTAATGGTTCCTTAAATATGATTTATTGGCCCATGACCAGTCCATTAAATTGTTAAATTTTGCTTGCAACCTGGCCGCTGCATTAGTATATTATCTTTTTAATACATTTATCTAGTTATTGCATACAAATGACACAATGAAACCAAAGTTAGATTCTGATGTAAAACCAAAGACAATACCAGTGCAGTGTCCTAAAATGGAAAAGAAAATACCTGATGTCCCAAACATGGAGTTCGATGATAGTCAGGTACAATATTTTTATATTCAAACTTATAATCGTTATAAATCCAGGTGAAGCTTATATGAATATTAAATGTATTAATTACAAGCTTTACTTGTTCTGAAGGTAATAAATGCTTACCTTAAAATAAAATGAAACTACATTTTTACATTTTATTAATAGCACTACAATTTGGAAAGAGTAAAATCTGAAACGACAAGTAAGAAGTTTAAACTGATCATAGTGGGTTCCTCAAATGTTGGAAAAAGTGCTATGATAAATCGTTTCTGCAAAGGTGTATATGATGATACTGTTCCAACCCCAGGTATAATTGTACCACTTGGTACAAGTATAGTATTATAATTTAATTAATATAGATGATATTATAATATAGTAATTGTATTATTAGTTATTATCCATAATCAAAATATTTCTTAGGTATTTAACTAATACAGTTATTAATTATATATGTGTTTTTAGGTATGGACTTTAAAAAAATATATATTAGATTTGAGAACGAAATCATCGAATTAAATATTTGGTAAGTATTATTAATGCAGTACATAATATATGACACCCTTAATAACTAAATACATTACCTGGTTAGCTTAATACTTTAAATTTAGTATGAATGTATTTAGTTGTTTAAATTCAAAAATGAACCAGTATTATCTTGTTTCTTATTGTTTTAGGGATACAGGTGGGACAGAAAAGTATCGCTCTTTAGCTCCTTCATACTATAGAGGAGCCCATGGTATATTTATTGTGTATGATATTACAGATGCAAAATCTTTAGTTAAAGTAAATGATTGGAAAAAGGATGTCGAAGATGTAAGGAATTGTATAGTAATTAACTTCATTGATTTAAAGTTAATTTGGTTATTAATTTTTGTTATTTTTTATTAATTGAGGAGATAATACAAATGTTAGATTACCTAGTTCTTGAAATAAATAAAAAAAACTACTTTTTTTCAGTTTTCTGATTTCAATGCTGTGAAAATTTTGATTGGTAGTAAATGTGATGATACGTCAAATAGAAAAATCTCAATCAAAGAAGGACAGGAAGTAATTTTATCAAATATAACACATATATCTATCCTATAAATAACTAACTGTTTTCAAAAATTGTATTCACGTGTTACAAAAGAGTATTTCATCCTCTAATTTGACTTGAAACAAATATTTCCTCCACTCTAATTATTGTTGATGGTAATACAATTTTATTACTTTTTAGTTGGCAAAAAAGTGTGGAATTTCATTCTTTGAAGTGTCTTCCAAAACCAATATAAATTTAAACAAATTGTTGTATACAATGATTTCAAGAATATATGAACACCAATATATTGTACACCAAACCCCGTCAATATTATTACGCATCCCTCAGCCAAATTGGAACACGATAATATTGGTAACTACTAATTATCTATAGAGTTATTTTGTAAACATTGGCCTGTTGACATATGGCCGCACGACTTCAATATTCCTGTGGGAATGTATATGCAGTCCGCTTTATAGTTGTTTTATATGTCTATGGGGTAAAGTGGTATGGACAACTTATTGGCTCATAATTAATGTTAATATTAAATAACAGAACTAAAGATAACAGCAATCGTATATTATGCATATGGATGCGTCGCTTGTGCGGTGTGCTTTGGTGCTTCATGGGATACAGCATATTATTAACATGTGTAACTTCTACAATGTTCCGTCTATGAGTATAAGGTCTATGGGTTATTCTCATACTTTAGTATACTATAACCTCTAAACCTGAGAGGGGTACAGTCTATCACCAAGAATGGCAACTGGCATAATATTAGGGGAGTAAAAAGTTTTCCAAAATCTTAAAAAATTAAACATTTTAAGAATCAAATATGTATATAATAGTTAAAGAACTAATAGTTAAACATTAAACAGTACATCAGTAAAAAAAAAATATTTTGTTTTAATATTAATAAATATGAGATATCTTACCCTAATACAGTGCAAATGAATAGCAGTTTAAAAATCAAGAAATTCAAAAGTCTACAGTAATAAGATAAATTTAGTGTGTTAAATTAACTTGTAGAGCCTCTAAAATAGCAATAATTTAATTTTAAAATTAACAAAATCTATTATAAATTAATCAATGATGATATGATTTATATATGTTTAAAATGTAATTATTTATATTGCAGGGGGATCCCAGTTCAACCAAGAAACCAGTACAACAACATCCTGGAGGTTGTAGTTGTTAATCTGAGATACACAGAATAGTTTTAATAATTTTAAAATATCTTGTACAGTTATAAAAATATAAAATCTTTACAAATATGAGTTGATGCAGTGATTTGCTTTATACCTATCAAGTGCAGTGGCGCCAAACATGTACTTCAGATGGTTCAACTGAACTGCCTTGAAATTTGGACGGATGGGTTTGTTGTGGGTAATATAATTGGGTATACTTCCGAGTCATTCAGCTATAATTTTATTAAACACACAAATGTTATTAAATTATTTATAATATATAATAGCTTGAGCTTGTTTCACGGCCTTCTGAAGGGAGTGGAGAGGGGGGTTAATCAAACTATTTAAACTACCAGTTTTAATTTCATTCAAGTAAGGAACTGAACACTGTTCAATTATTTGAGGCCTGGTTTATAATTTACTCTAAAAAGTAGTCGTTATGAGTTAGTTTTAGTAATTTTTTTATTTATAAAAATATTCAAAAATTCATTCAAAAATTTCAATTTTGGTATTGATTTTATGTTTAATAAGGTACTTGGAATACTCTTTACCAAATTTCCTTATTACTATATAATTTTTTAGTCTTAAGCACTATAGCTTCATGGTTCTGTCCGACCTGTAATATCTAAAGTGTTGCATCTAAGAACTAAATTAACTGGTCCATTATATATCAACATATCACATACTTAAACGTGTTACCTACAACTGCACATTATTTTTAATATCAGTTTCATCTCATTGGCAGACAGGTGAGTTAACGAGAATGTAGAGTTTTTGAAAAAACTGGTGGATGGTCATGTTGATGCTTTCTCACTTCTTTCGTTAGTTTGTTTCAAAGTTCTTTCTCGTATTTCTAGATACCATGTTCTTGCTCACACTACCAAATATGGCATGAATAATCCTTTAGACCACATGATGTGGTTGGCCAACGAGAACAAAATGTATCAAAACTTATGAAATTATAATTAGGTGTTACTATATATTTATACGTAGGTACTATCTTATTATACTTGTATTATTACTGGAGTTATTATGTTATATAAACTTATTTGTGATATTCTTACCATCTAAAATTATAAAAAGGTGGCAAGTGGATACCACTCTGCTGCACAGACTCGCTGTAGGTGTCAAGTGGGTCATGTAGTAAGTGTGTTAATTTGAGTTCAATGATTTCATTTCTGTATTTCAACCAGGTATTATATATACCTATCATAATATGCTGACTAAGAACATGTAATAGTTTGTAAATAATATAAATGCATAAATATAAGAATATGTTTCAAAAAAGTGTACTAAAAACGATTCTGAGCGAAGGCGGTCGATCAGTCTATAATACTACTTAGTACTTAGTGATTAAGTATATTTGATAATATTATTGTGATTAAACTAATTTATTTTACTGATAAAAAAGCATTATAAGCATTAGTAATGCAGTAAATTAAATTCATTTTTGTCAAAAAAAATTACATTTGAAAAGTCATCGTGTGTATAAAATATAATAATATACTTTTCTAAGTTTCAAGTACCCACGAATAATATTTTTAATTTACGACAAAATAACATAAATCATTATTCTTATTACTTATTGTATTTTTTTTTTATCCAGATTGTAAATATTCTTAAAAAAAAAAAACATTATTCTTCGTTATTTAATATGTAATTTCGTCAAGATTTGAACATTAAAAAACTTAAATAAAAAACCATGATTATATATTTTTAGATTTTTTAATTACAGAAAAACCTACTTGCGTGAAACTATTTTTTAAATTTTCAATCCTTAGCTATAAAAATTTAAAATTTTAGAAATTTTAAACTTTAAAATTATTTGTAAATTTTGAATGATATGAATTTTGTCAAAATTTGAACTTTGAATGCTTAAAAAAAAATCGTGCTTATGTATTTTTTATATTTTTCAACTGCTATTGTGTCACAATATATCAAACATTTTGTAAAAAAAAAACAAAAAATTTAAATTTAAAATGTCCGCGAACAGCATAAAACGAGTCAAAATATTTCGAAAATTTTATCAAGTACCTACATGAATTAATTAAATAAGCATGTGGTGTTATTTCAAGTGTCTACAGTAATCTGTTTTTAAATTAAAACAAAATAAGAAAATCGCAACGTGAGAAATCAAGTTAATACCCATGTTGTAAAAATTTCACCTTCAAAAGCTCGTACAAATTTAAATTGACTTTCCTGTAGATTTTTTTTTTTGTTAGAGGTAGACAAACTTAAAAGAAATCTTATACTAAATTTTAAAATCTTATATGAAAAGAAAATGTTTATGAATTTCTAGGTAAAGTAAGTAGTAACTAACTATAGATTCACTTTCCTGCCAGAAAAGTTGGTATGGAAGAAAATCGAAGCTCTTTTACTGCCCCAAACAGTGATGACAGACACTAAAATAAAAAACACATCATTGAAAAAACAATTCATTCATCACTCCGCTCAGAATCTAAAAGTTAATCAGCCAAAGGTGAGTATAATACTCCCAATATTAAGTATTAATTAGTAAGTTCTCATTCATGTTATGATTACAATTATAAGTAAAGACCGGATTTAGCATATTATGCATATTCATATTTTTATAAGCTATTACATGAAGTAAATAGATTTTCATCAATCATAGTTAAACAAATAATGTTACAAATTTTTATTTTGCATATTTTTGCATATTTTGGGTACAAGTGCATATTTTCCATAAAAATGCATGTTTTTGCATATTACGTATATATTTAAATATTTTTATTTAATTTTATAACTGTATGTACCATTATTATACACAAATTTGTTCAAAACACAAAAATTGAAAATATTTTTAAAAATATAATAGGCAGATTGTATACTGATTTTCCCGTCGTATAGTTTTATCTTATCTAACATTATCAAGTTATCGACTATCGTTTATTTATACTACAGAACACAGACTGACAGACTAACGACTGTAGTTCGAAGTGTACATTCGGCAATAGTCAACGACGTCAACGTAGTTCTAAATAAACACATATTAATTTTATATAACATTGTTTGTGTTTTTAAATTACAATGCCAATAATGTCAGAATATAGAATAATGCCAATAATATCATGCCAAAATGGCCAGAGGGAGGTAATGACGAAAAAGTTTTGTTGATGTTATCCGATGCAGCCCCATATATGGTTAAGGCTGCCAAAAATTTAAAACCATTTTATTCCAATCTTATTCATGTGACTTGTGCTGCTCACGGGATTCATCGGATTGCAGAAAATATTATGGATATTTTTCATGAAATAAACGATTTAATTAACAACGGAAAAAAGATTTTTTTGAAAGCTCCTTATAGAATTCAATTATATCATGAAATGCTACCTAATAAACCATTACCGCCCCAACCTATAATAACACGATGGGGTGCTTGGTTAGAATCAGCAATATTTTATGCAGATAATTTCGAAAATTTTAAAAATGTTATACAAAGCCTACCAGAAGACGATGTAAAAAGCATTAAAAACTGTAAGCAAATTCTAACTAAATCAAATATAATTAACGATTTAACTTATATTAAAACAAATTTTTCGGTTATTGTTGAAAGTATTAAAAAGCTTGAGACTTCAGGTTTGCTACTCATAAATGCTTTAGAAATATTTGAACAAGTTACAAATGCTATCAATAATCTTTCAGAAAATGAAAATAGCGTATTAATTAAAAAAAAATGTTCCGACATTATTAAAAAAAACAAAGGCCTGCTAATTTTAAAAGAAATTTCTAAAATACACCAAGGTGAGAATGTTGACTTAAGTTCTTCTATCAAACACTTTTCCCCGGAAATGTTGTCAAGTTTTAAATATGCACCCATAACAAGTGTTGATGTGGAACGAAGTTTTTCTGCATACAAACATATTGTCACAAATCGCCGTCATAATTTAACTGAGATCAATATGGAACATATTATTGTTACTTATTGTTTTTCCAATAACAAATAAATTATATATTTTTTATCACAATCATAAATTCATAAAATATATTGTATATAATATTGTAGTTTATTATTTTTTTTTCATCATAAATGTTTTGATTTTATAAATTTTCCATAAATAAAAAGCTGTAATAGGTAATAAAAATTTATTTTGCATGTTTTGTGATATTTAAGTGCATATTTTCGTCATAAATGTTTTGATTTTATAATTTTACCATAAATAAAAAGCTGTAATAATCAAAAATTATTTTGCATGTTTTATGATTTTTAAGTGCATATTCAGAACTTTTTAAGTGCATATTTGCATGCATATTTTAACATTTTAAATGCATATAAATCCGGTCTTTAATTATAAGACGTCTAACTATTATTGGATATTTTACATTTTATTATACTGAACTAAAAAACTACACCAGTTTGCTGACAATAATTTAGCTCTAATTCATCAACCGCAAAAAAAAAGGTTGATGTTAATTGTAATTCTTATTTGGTAATGAATTATTTGTAATAATATTGTATAAAATAGTTTCAAATATCAATTCTATTTTAAAAAAAAAACATATATATAGAAAAAATGAAAAGGTAAAAAAATTGAGCATTCCATCTATACTAACACTAGTACCAGCTTACACTACAACGACTATCAGTGAACTGTAAGTACCATTGCAGCCTTGGTGCAATGGTTCGGTTTGGTGGAAAACGCTATTAGTTGAAAAAATATAAAGTAATTAATTAATTAAGGTTAAAATAATAATTACAATAATAATACTTATTTTGATGGTTGTATGTTAAAATTAAAATAATGAATTATGTTGGTCAATAATTTTGTAGGCATTTATCCCAAACATTTTTTAGGAGCTCCTCACTAGATGACTGATTTTAGTGTATTAAAATATAGTTGAAAGTAAAAAATATTTAGCTCTTTTAATTTAAATTTGTACCAATTATTTCAATTCAAAATATTAATGCATTTACTTAATTTTAGAGGACCATAGTAGTTAATAAACTAGAGAGCCAAAATTGATGATTTGACTATTGAAATTTTCAGAAAAAAAAGTTTTACCACTTACCAGAATCCATTAAAAAATACAATTGAAAATTACCATTTGAAAAAATAAAGTTGATTTTGCTG